TAAATATTTACCTGTTCTGCAAGTTCTGCAACAAATAATAGCTACACCGTTAGTCGCTACGGATTCTGGCACCGAAAATAACTATAAAACTCACACGACTGTACCCAGGAATGTAAGAATGTACACTAACACGAGTTTAGTTGATAGGGAGAGGTACAGAAAGTGGCTATAGAAAAATAACAGTTATTTGTAAATACCGAATGAATAATGTTGTCGTCGGTGTGTGAGACCGATAGCGACTAACGGAGGGTTAAAAAAGGGTTTTAAAGTTTTTACTACATTTTGTGTTTATAAGATTTCAAATGCTTTAATTTATTTGATATATATATATATATAATATATATATATATATATATATATATATATATATATATAATATATATATAGTAGTTTTGAGTTTCTTGAACAGTATTATATTTAATATAAAATTAATGTTTCTTGAGAGTGCCTCATCTAAATGAGGCACTCTCACTGTGGAGAAGAAAGTGCTGCAATATGGGCATCCCAATCGGAGATGATAGATTGTACACGATACATTTCGCTGATGACCAAGCCATTCTAGCTGAAGACGAGAGTAATATAAGCTACATGCTTAGAAAACTGGAAAATGAGTACACCAAATGGGGCCTCACAATTAATATACAAAAAACTGAGTACTTAGTTGTAGGAGAACAACCAGAAAGCCTACAAATAGAAATGGGAACTATAAAACCAACAGACAATTTTAAGTACTTGGGAGTCCAAATAACATCAAAAGCAGGAAGTAGCGAAGAAATACATTCCAGGATTGGCCAAGCAAGATCAGCCACCAGACAGCTACACGGACTATTATGGAATAAAAAAATAACAAAAGAAAATAAAAGAAGAATTTATAAAACAATAATAGAAAGTATTGGACTGTATGGCGCCAAACTCTGGGAAATAAACCAAAGAAACAAATCAAAAATTAAGGCCATGGAAATGAAACTACTGGAGACGATGTTGCCAGCTCACTAGACTTGATAGGGTGAGAAACGAAGATATTCGGAGAGAAATGGAAATCGATGTAGATATAATAGACACAATCGAAGCCAAAAGACTTAACTGGTATGGACACCTTCAGAGAATGCCAGAAAATAGATGGCCAAAAAAAATAGAACAATGGACTCCGCCAACTAGAAGAAAACGAGGTAGACCAAGACGATCCTGGAGAGACGATGTCGACGATGCAATGACCGCCAGAGATCTAACAACTGAAGATTGCTTCCACAGAAAACGCTGGAAATTAGGATGCGAGAAGCGGCGCCAGCTGTAGAAGACTCGCTTGTTATATATATATATAATATATATATATATATATATATATAATATATATATATTATATATATATATATATATATATATATATATATGTTTCTTGGGTTTAGGTTCAATAAAGATATTTTACAATGTTACAGGTGGAACTAGATTTTATTTTCCATTGCAATCAATCAACGTTTCGGCAGGAAACCCTTGCCTTTGTCAAATTCTAAAATGTGTATATATATAAGGACAAACAGATATTGTAAAATATGTATATATATATATATATATATATATATATATATATATAATATATATATATATATATATATATATATATATATATATATATATATATATATATATATGACTTACCAAAACGTAAACGTGACACAGACATTAACGAACTGACATATAAAAGTTGATATCTGATATCTCATTGTTTACTGTCATTAGTATATAATTATTTTTATATGGGCGTAATCGTTGATGTATTTGAAAAAGGTAAGGTGGAGATATGTTATGACTTTAAGAGCTTTTTATGATGTTATATTATTATTGTTTAAATCAGATTGAAATATATTTTATTTAGGTTTTGTGTATCTTTTTTTGTTGCTAGATGGTGGTGATAGAATGTTTTTATAGAATTTATTTAAAAACTCGAATGTTTTTATAGAATTTATTTAAAAACTCGAAAACTTTGGTTTTTTCAACAGACTATCTTTCCTTGCTTCTGCTTGGATTGTGCCCTGACCAGATCGCAATGTACTTCCGGATCCTACCAATTTCCCTGCTCGCTATTTCGCCTACTGTTTCTTTTGATAATAAAAGAAAGAAGAAATATTTAATTGCATATTTCATATTCTACTAACCACCATTATCTTCGTCACCTATATGTCTATATTAATCTTCAAGCCCAGTCGTTCTCCTTTAGTGTTTATTCTATCTATTAGTCGTTGTAGCGCTTCTTGGCTATCAGCTATTATGACTGTATCATCAGCATAGCGAAGATTACTAATATCAAATTAAAGGGGAGGAAATAGCTAATATACTTAGATAAAAAATCCATTAGTTTTTAGTTATTATCCGTTGTGGAGGAACGATGATGACTATTAACTCGAAGTCTGTTTGTTACGAAGTTGCGAACGCGATACTATAGCTTATTTTGTAGAGTACTGTTTCGTGCGTCTTAAAATGTTTTATTTTGCATTTTTGTATTCATTCATAATATTAAAATAAAGCTGTATATAGTATTTTTGGTGTGACAAAATAAAAGCATTTTTGTAGAACATTATACGTTCTAGAATCCCGATGCGTTAGAATCGGGCCACATACTAGTTAATCAATAAAGTATTTAACCTTAATCTCTTACATTTATTTTACCGTTGCTGTAAAATAAGTTTTTTCTCATTATACTGAATTCTGAAATAGGAAGTTAAGCTAGTAGCATGATTATATTCAATAGTGCAATCTCCGGATTTATCAACGAGGGCAGTAAAACTATAAAATGTAATTGTTTTCCTAATTGCCATATACTTTAAAGAAGCATTACAGTTAATTGCGAAAAGCTTTAAATGTTGCTACATCTAAACGATTAACATTTTCTGAGTTTAAAAGCAAAGAACAAGTTTTTAGAATCATTTTCTTGCTATTACTAGTGCTTCATTATATAAATTTAAATCATAAAATAAAAGTAACTTGTACAAAGTATGTTAATAAATTATATAAAAAAAAAACAATTTAGTTCAGTAGGGTGTAATGTAGGTGTATAAAAATAAAAACTTGCAATAATAGTTTACATAATTTAAAACAAATATCAGTACAGTTAAGTCAGAAATCTGGCATACTAAAGACATCAGTTATTTTGTTTGTTCTTCATCTGTCTTTATTTTATCACTTGGTTATACCGTATCAAATGTTACATCTAAATTAGTTTCTTCACTAACAAGAGTAGGCTTAGCCATACTCTAGCTGTCATAATTGAGTAAGAATTCATATTTAGCTACACACGCTTCATAAACTTATTTCTGCAAAATTATTTAAAGGTACTTTAGTACCTAAATGTCTGGTATGATACCAATATTCACAAATAACACAGGTTTACAAAAAAAATATTTTTTTAAATTGTTTGGAATTTCATAACTGATTTTTTCGTATTTTGTAGCGCTGATTGCAAAAATGCAATCCATTTTTTTCTATCACGTAAGGTTTTCTCACAAAAAAGGAATTACTTTTTGGTACAATAACAAAAATTTAGCAATTTTTAAAATTTCTTTTTAAATTAAAGAATTTTATTTCATGTTAATACATGTTAGAAAACTACATATCTAGTACACTTACATTTCTCTTTAAGCTCATAAGTCCTTATAGTAACGCTTTTGCTTTCCGTCGAAGCTTCTTTTATTGCTTTTCCGGCTGTGTACTCGTTGAGGGTCATCTCGTTTTAGCATTTAGCAGTAGTCCGCTATCATGTTGATGTTCCATCTTCCTTGATACCATCTTTCCATTTCCTTGATATCTTGGTGGAATCTTTCACCCTGCTCTTCACTTACATCACCAAGGTTTGCAGGCAAGTAGTCTAGATGTGAATGGAGGAAATGAACTTTAATGCTCATGTTACATCCTAGCTTCTTAAAGTTGTCGAGCATGTCTGTGACGATTGTCTTGTAGTTAGGATCTTCTTTATTTCCTAGGAAACCGATAAAAACTAGTTTAAAAGATGGCTTTTTGTTTGTTTCCATTTTGTCCATAAAAATTAAGATCTCTCATCAGTTTTCTAATGTCTGGTCTGACAAAGACTCCTTCCTTTAGTTTTACCTCGGATAAACCAGGACACTGTCCACAAAGATACTTGAAACACTCACTTTCTTTTGGCAACGCCTTTACAAATTGTTTCATTAACCCCAAACTTAATGTGGAGTGGTGGTAGTAATACTTTTTTGGGATCCACAAGGCTTTTCCTCTCAACATTTTGAACCCCCACCTGTAAGGTTTTTCTCAAGGGCCAAACTTTAATGTAGTGTCTCTACTGTGTCTACTGTGTCTCTACTAGTGTCTTTCTGTCTATACTGTCCTATTCACAGAGGAAGCAAGGGAACTTTGTATAACCACTTTGTTGACCAAGCAGCATGAGAACAGCATAGATTGAAGATATACTGTGAACTGCAGAACAGGTAGCAGAAGCTCACTGCTTGGTGATGGAGAGGGGATGGGCACTGTGGCAGACAGCACTGACATAAAAGATGCTCAGTGAGTCAGTAAGTGGATGACGAGGGAGGGGGAGGCAATGGACAAGTACCGACATGAAAATAATGCTGGTTTCTCCTAATTAACTCTATATTTTACATACAACCTGTATAGTAAAAAAAAAACAGCTAAGTAACTGAAAATACCTTAAAGTATTTTTTATACTTATTAAAAGTACTATAAAAAAACTAAAAATAGACAAGCAGTTTTATGGAATAACTGTACGTGATGGAATGTTTTCACTATTTTTCCCAAAATTAGCATTAAAAATACTATAAAAATCACTTATTCAATTTTAAACATTTTTTCTGTCGTAGACCTGTGTAATGCATTATAGAATGTCATCAGGAACTGGATCATCCAAATTAGGGAAAGGGTGGTGACAGATACAATAAAACCCAGAAAAAATTTGATTGTAAGCATTCAGATCATTTATCACGCTTTTAGTTAATAAAAAATGAATAAAAACATTATCAAATTTTACTATTACCATAATCACATCGGAAATTTCCCTTAGTATAAAGTTTAACTAGTTCATGGCTATTAGGACAGTGATAACTGCAAGCCAAGCATACTCCAGCTACTCTCTCTGGATCTTCTTTAGCTTCAGGAATACATGTGAGAGAAGAGTACAAAGCTTGTCTCTTGATGTAACCCTCACCATTTGAGTATGTTTTATCATTTGCTGCCCCAAAAACAGCAGCGGTGTTTTCGATCAGCTCAATTTTCAAATTCCAACACATTTTAATATTACTGATACAGAATCAAAAACTAATCAAGCCTGTTTGTTCTAGAATGTTTGCTTTTTCGAAAGACCATACTATGGTTTCTTATGTTACCAGCAAAGGCAAATCGGTTTTTT